GATGCGGTCGGCGAACAACAACAGCTACAGTCAACGTTATGTATGCAGGGAAATACGCAAAAGAACTCCGAGGAGTATGTGTAGTTGCTCGAAGGTGCTGATGTTGCGTAGCTGCTCGGTGGAGAAGAGAAAGAGAGTGAGAGAGAGTGTGTGTGTGTGTGAGATGGAGAGCGTAAGTGAGTTGGAAGGATAAGTAAAGGTCAGAGAGGAAAAAAGAGCTAAATACGTGATTTAGTATATTCATGTAACTGTAGTTTTTCGTTTAGTTTAGGTTAGTTTATTTAGCAGCAAACTAATTGGCATTAACATTTCTGCTATTTACTCGGACTTTCAAGAGCAAACTTAAGCATTTTTGATTGAATCTGACTGAATAACTTGACTGTGTCCTTGGGACTCAAAATATTATTGAAACAATGATAAAAATATTAGCGTTTGAACACAGTCTTCCAATACGCAAGCAGGAATTGAAAAAAAAATTCAAAATATAAATTTTTTGTTTTCTTTTTCTAGCATCAAACCAGGTCTTTAACATTAAAACCTGTGTAAATTGTTCACTCTGTACTCCTACTGCCAAATATTTGTGAAAATTCTATTGTAAACTTAATAATACAATGCCTCAATATATTTGTAATTAGTTTAAGTATTCCATTCCGCAGAACTTTTAGTTTAGACTTAGCGTAGATAGTCTAAGGAATACATATAACAAATTTTGTGCTAAGACCAATTGTGTTGTATCGCCTTGTATCAAGGTCTGTGTCCTAACTCTGGTAGCAATAACAGTTGTATAAGATTTGAAAATAATTATAAACTTCACATTTTAAAATTAAATAGTTAAATAATTAATTATGTTAGTAATTAGTTTAAAATTGTTAGTGTTTAGAATTTGGGTTAAGCATAAATTTTGTGTGTGCTATATTAAAAATAATTTCAAATATCGTAATGCATTTAAAAAACGACTTCGTCTCCAATGTATTAAACTAAAACTTGTATTAACTAGAAATCTTGCCATAAGATTTGCGCATAATAATTTATAAATCAAACTACTATGAACCAACTACTTAAAATAATATTAGAAGTTGAAATGAACAAAGAGCGAATTAGAAATTATTATAAATTATAACAAATGATAACCTAACTAGTTCTAACATGGTAAAAGCAATCTTCCAAAAAGCTTTAAATCAAAAAATCTTTATGTATAAAAATTTTACGAATCTATATATAAAAAAAAAAAACATAACTTTATAACTATATGATAGCACAAATTACGACTTTTCTACAAAGCTTTTTAGTACATCTTATTTGGTTTTTGTTAAATAATTTAGTCCGTTTGTTAACTGAAAATGTATGATTATATTTGAATCCAACCTATCCTATATATTTTCAAACAAAAGTTTATTTTTCCGCTACTTGTAAGTATTTAAGTAAATTTTTACAAGCAAATTTTAGTGAACAAATAAAAGTTAAATATCCAATTAAAAATAAAACCATTTTTTTTATTTATATGAAAGCGACATCGATATGCGCGCAGTACACATTTGAGTGATACGGCACGCGATGCGAAAGGCGATGCGATAAGCCAAACCGTCACGCTCGGCCGATACGCAAGCGATATATGTCGCCGCAGTGTCGCTGTCGTGCAAGGCAAGGTGCGCATTCGAGCGATACGATACGCGATACGATATGCAACTTACCCGACAGCGATGCTGCGGCGACATATATATCGCTTGCGTATTTGCCGAGCGACACTGTTTCGTTTATCGCATCGCCTACCGTATCGCTCTAATGTGAACCGTGCCTAACAGTCCCAAAAGATCCGAAATGGTCCCAAAAATTCCCAAGTAGCTCGGAAAATTCACTAGACACAAATAAAGGCGCAAGCCCAAAAGTTGACCGCGACGCATAAAAAAACAATCAGCAGAGAATGACCCTTAACATAGTTGACAGCGAAGAAAGCCACGTAAACTTGTTTTCGGGGAATGATGCTGAAGTGACAGGTATAATTACGGTGACCATATTTATGAGTGCTGAATACGGGACAAAAAATAATTTTGCAAATTTTTTCCACAACAGCTTACAGATCTTAAAGCCTTCTTCAATGATCCTAGATGTATTAGCCCTGCAAGAGTATTATTTTACCCCGTAAAATTTAAAAAAAAAATTCGTTAATTTTTAGTATAATAAAGTGCAAGTTTTAGTCGCTAAGGCTTACCATTAATTTTTGGCATTTTTTTTTTTTTTTGTTGGCAAGGTTACGGATTTTTTTCAAACAAAATAATGCCGAATTTCCACTGGGCATTATAATGACAAAAAATGTACGCCATTTAAAAAATGCCAAGTGGAAACAGACATTATGACTATTTTTATATTAATGCAATGGTACGGATGTTTTTTAATGCTCAACATTGTCATTAAAAATGTTGTCATTTAATGCCTAGTGGAAATTCAACATAAGTATGTTCGACCATTGTTTTGAAAGAGAAGCAAATGAGCAGAAATTTCCACTCGCACTTTATTATACTAAATTTTAATGAGTTACAAAACTGCAAACAAAATTTTTTCTCAAGATTCAAATTAAAAAGTTTGAAATTTTGGTGAAACATTTCCGAATTAATTTTTATAGTTTTTTGCACAATGTTGGAAATTTGGTGTTATATGATTTTTGTTAGGAAAAGAGCTTTACTTTCATAAAATAAATAATACACATTAAATAAACTAAGGACAAATTAGCCAAAACTTGCTAAAATGTCGAGTCTTAATTTCTATTTAGGTCACTTTATGTATTCCTCGATTCAAATCACAGGCATTCAGATTAGAAAATAAAAACTGTTTATGGAGAAAATTGCGATCATATACCAACATCACATGCCATTTTAATGTGCTGTTAAGGCGTCGAAACACCGAATACGGGACAAATACAGGACATTAAAAGAAATACAGAACATTTGGCGTCCCGTATAAAATAAATAAATTACCAGGACAATGGGTCAAAAAAGAGGACTGTCCCGTAAAATACCAGACGGATGGTCACCGTAGGTATAATCAATGTTTACGCGTCTTTCTTGGCCGAAGTTTTTCTTAAGCGCCCTTTTTCGTAAATTATTTTTACGCGTAATATATATTGTACCGAGTTTGATCGAAATTGCTTAAGTTAAATGTGACCACTGGGCGACTGGCTTTAGGAATCATTCAAACCGGTTCATAAACAGAGAAGTTTTAGGCCGGTTACATTGGGCGTAGTCGGTTTATTTTTAAGTGTATCTCCCATACAAACAAGTTATTGCCAGAATAGGGAGTAGTACGGGCTCCTCACTTCGCATCTTAGTCATCCACGTACATGCGACGCCACCATTTTCCATTAGCACCACCA